ATGGAGAAAAAGCCGCACCACACGCGCGTGAAGTGCACTTCCGTCAAGTTAGACGGTTTAGGGGATAACGCGCAATCAAAAGTATAATACAAAGGAGTATGGCGCAATTTTTAAAATACAAGGGGATAACGCACAGATTTCGTATAATACAGGGGGGTTTGGCGCAATTTACCCTATCAAAAACAAAATAAGTTAAATGTATTTCATTTGTAAAGGTATGAAATTCGAATTTTATGTTGATTTGTTATAAAATTATGGTGATGTTATTCTCATATATTGCATTCATCTTGAAAATCGGAAAGATCTTTGAACAAATATTGGTCAATAAAATTTTAAATTTTTAACTTAATTGTAGAAAATAAGTTAATAAATATGTACAATAAGGTAACAAACAACAAATCTAGAAAATTGCAAGATAATATATATATATATATATATATATATATATAAATAAAGAATTTATTGTGTAGTCACAAATTTAAAAGTAAAATAAGTAATTATTCACAACTTATGGGTAAATATTTTCTTGGACGTAGTCAATTATATATAATTTAATAAATTACTCAACCATTTATATTTTTTGATGTTAATAATATATACAAAAATAAATTTATTTAGTTAAAGAAACAACATAAGTTTCATAATTATACTTTTTATCCACATATATTTTTACATATATGATAAAATTTTACCAATAATTGTGAAATCTAATTTTTGAATAAAATATTTACAATGACATTTCTTTTGAAATAAATATAATGTAATTTATTATCAGTTACATGCACCGTATAGATTGTATACTAATGTTGAATAGACATGTTTTATGCAGTTTTTCACAATTTAAATTAATACGACATTTTTAATAAATTAATATAGTTAAATTGTATTACATATTAATATTATCTTTTTTTCATTTATAAATATTTTTGAGTGAGTGTTTTTTATTTATAATTATTAATGAATATGTCTTACCCGTGCATCGCACGGGATTTGTACTAGTTAATCCAAAAGTATGGGTGATATATTGGAAATTTAACGGGGAAAATACCATGTGAGCATTTGTGGTATTCTTTCTGACGTGGCCTCCCTATTACCACCATTGTTAACTAATCATACACACTTGCCTTTGTGTTCGCCTTTGTTGTTGGTCACCGGCCGCCGGTAGTCGACAACATATCAGAGCGCCGGAATGGAGCTCCATCTCATCTCTACTCCGTTACTCCCCAAGTCCAAGAGCAGCCTTTTAGTCGAATTCCCATCCATCTCGACAAAATCCTTTGGGAATCTACTCCGCAGGACCAACAGAAGGCTGAAAATATCGTCATCTTCGTCGTCGATGACGTTGGATCAACCTGGCGGGAAGATGGTGGTTGAGCTGGTTGGCGCTTTCACGGAGTTGACGGAGAGAATGATGAGCCCCAGCACGAGCTCCTCGCGTTTGCTGTTCAAGGCACTCAAGCTCTCTATCCCCATCCTCAACGCCCTTCCACTTCTTCCCGACGGCCGCTCCCCTCTCTCTAAGGCCCTCTCCCTCGCCCTATTTCTCGCCGATCTTCAGGTATTCAACCTTAATTTATTCAGTTAGATTGTTTGTTTCTCATCCTAATTTGTGATTCTGGTTAGAAAATTGGGGGAATTGGGATGATACAACACCATTGTTGACACTCGATTACCACTTATCATGTCGCCTTACTTTCCTGAATATTTCCGTTGTGATGAAAATTTCGGACAAAATTAATCTGCAACTGATTCATATCTGAATCTGACTAACGCTAACTGCCGGATGGGTGCAGATGGACGCTGAGGTCATATCCGCCGGACTATTGAGGGAAGCCGTGGAAGGAGGTGGGGTTTCCATGCGCCAGGTCCGGGACCGTGTGGGCCTCGCCACTGCCCACCTCCTGCACGAGAGCATGCGCCTGAGAGGCATCTCCTCTAGGGTCGAGGTCCTAGACGACAACAGCTCGTCTGCCCTCCGAAGATTCTGCATCACGTATTACGATGCGCGGGCCATCATCCTCCACCTGGCCCTAAAGCTCGATGCAATGCGCCACCTCGACCACCGACCGAGATATGAGCAGCAGACCCTCTCCCTGGAGGTCATGAAGATACACGCTCCCCTGGCCCACGCGGTCGGGGCACGCCTCCTCTCCCTGGAGCTCGAAGACCTGTCATTCCACTACTTATTTCCTTACTCGTATCTCTACGTGGACGCGTGGCTGAGGTCCCGCTGGGAGATCACTACCGGAGGCAAGCCCCTGTTAGACGTGTACAAGGAGCAGCTGCTTCGAGCCCTGACCTCTGATCTGCTTTTAAAGGAGATGGTTGGGGACATCTCGGTTGAAGGTCGTTATAAGAGCCGATATAGTACCATGAAGAAGCTGTTGAGAGATGGGCGTGCGCCCAATGAGGTGAACGACATCTTGGGGCTGAGGGTGGTCTTAAGCCCCGGGCAGAGTGGTAATTCGCTGTACATGGGGGAAAAGGCCTGCTACAGGGCTCGTGAGGTGGTTAGATCGTTGTGGAAGGAGGTGCTGGAAAGGTCAAAAGACTATATCTCGAAGCCCAAGGCTAATGGGTACAAGAGTCTGCATATGGCTGTTGATGTCAGTGAAAATGGCAGGACGAGGCCCCTGATGGAGATTCAGATACGTACAGCGGAGATGGATATGCTGGCGGCTGGCGGGACCGCTTCGCATGCGCTGTACAAAGGCGGTCTCACTAATCCAGAAGAGGTATTTCCAACTCATCCCAAATTAGTTAACCTTGGATGCACACAATTTTTTTCTTTCTTTTATAATCTGCCCTCTTCTCATCGAATTTCAAATTTCATTCATGTAACTGTTAGTTGGAATTTTCAAAGTGGACGCGCTCTAAATTCTGTAAATTGATATCTTTTGCTGTGACTCAATTTGACTCAGGCAAAGCGGCTCAAAGCTATCATGATGGCTGCAGCTGAACTAGCAGCATCACGCCTCAAAGATTTTCCCTCCACTAACCACATGGGTCTAGAAAGTAATCACAGGAATCGAGTCTTCCGGTTGCTGGACAAGAATGGAGATGGTAAGATCAGCATTGAGGAACTTATGGAAGTAATGGAGGAGCTTGGTGCTAAGGGGGAGGATGCTGAGGAGATGATGCGAGTTCTTGATTCGAATAGTGATGGTTCTCTGAGCTCAGATGAATTTGATTCATTCCAGAAGCAGGTGGGTAATATACTATATAGTGCCGTAGTATCAACATTAATTACTAAGAAGTTAACTTTTGACAACATTCCGCCAGGCGGAGGCTTTCCGGCTCTTTTTTCAGTTTATAATTATTATTTTTTTGTGTTTCAGATTTTTCATCTCTTTCTAGTTTTTCATAGAAATTTTCATTATTTTTTGGTTTAGTTCTTTTAGCTTTATTTTCCAGTTTTTAGGGTTCTTTCTTCGTGATTTTGATAAAATTTTTTACATAGGTTCAAATTTGTTGGTATTTTTTGATATCTGTATTTAATTCTAAATTTCAGTCTTAGACTGCCTAACGAGTCAATATCTGTCGGCACAGGAGTGTGCCTCGTTAACGGCTGGTGGAATGAATGAATGCCATGTGCACCAAACTGTTTGAGAACAACATTACTGCTCTTAATTTAGAACTACCTTTGTATAGCATGAATTGTTGCTTTCATTTATCGAAAGGAAAAGAGTGGAAATGGTTGTGAAAATTGATTCTCCTCGTAGGAGATTTTCCCCACTCTCTTATGTTCTGCAAGTATCCATCCTCTAGTCCTAAAAACGAGGAAAACATACTCTCAGAAACAAAATGAGAAGATTATCAAATATGAAGCTGCCATGTTTCTGTGCTCGTACTTCCACTTACTTTATGTCTATCTTGAGCTACATGACTGATTTAGTTGAAGACTGTTCTTCCACACCATTAGATTTTCCCCCTTTTTCCTTTTAACGATACCATTCTTTGCTCTGTAGGTTGAATTCATGCGAAATCTAGAATACAGAGACATTCAATGCAAGGCTCTATTGAATGATAAGCTTGAAGTGGAAGATGGCAGTGCAAAAATTGAAGTTTATAAAGAAAATAACTTGGCGACGGGCTTCCATTAAATTTGTTGGTACGCTATCAGGTATAGATTTGGTAAGCAATAGGATGGTTTTGATTCAGTTGTGGAGGTATCATTGGAGCTCAATTTGTTGTCCATATCTTCAGAGCCCATGAATTCCGATCATGTAAGTTTGTATTGTGAATTGTACACTGTGAATATATTATCTTCATACCACACTCAGCGGTTAACTCGAGAAATGTATATTTTCCTATCATTCCTCGACAGCCGTGTTTCTTCTGCTAATAAAGACAACATAGGTGTAAATTGTGTTTTAGAGTTGAAACTGAGGAAAAGTAATAGTGGAAGAAGGAAAGGTTCTGTAATATCAGTCTTCTTGCTGAATGAAGTAAAAGGGCATTATGAGTTAATGTTAGATCCATTGTATTATATAATTTGCTTTAGTTACTTTACCTTGTAACTCAAATGGATATCTTTTATTGATCTTTGTGAACAACATGACTAACAAATAAATAAATCAAATAAGAAGAAGAAAAAAACTAGAATAAGGAAAGGAAACTCAGACAAATCAAAGAGCCAAAGATTTGAAAATTGACAATGTAACTGTCATAAAAATGCCCAGCTCTCAACAAAACAGATTCTGAAGCCAGGTTCCTCCTAATACCTAAATCCAACTCATCTACACCTGAGGACAACATTACCTTTTCTCTTCATGTCCTAACGAACTACCAAAATAAATTACAACAAAAAAGCATCAAGCTCACCACTCGTCCCACTTGTTCATGAAGTCGTTCCACATAGCTGCCGCAATCGAGTCCCTATGCGAAGCTGCCACCTGTTCATGAATCGAGAAGCCTGACTGATGCAAATCGTCTGCCTGCTCGTCAGCAACTCCCGCGGCATCGTCCACCCCACCGATGCCATCGACACCGCTGAAAAGCCAATCGTCCCTTTCCTCTCGCCGGATGTGGTTATGGAGGACACACGCAGCTATCACGATGTCCCGCTGCGTGTGGAATGCGTACTGAGGGGGGCATTTAAGAATTGAGAACCTCTCCTTCAAGAGATTAAAGGACTTGCGAATGGCAACGCTCAGAGACGAGTGGCGGTGGTTGAACAGCTCCTTAGCGTTCCTCGGCAGGAGATTGGCGCCTCGGTACTCGTTTGGGTGGTACCGCACCCCCTCGTAAGGCGCAATGAACCCATCCATGTTCTCGTACCCCAAATCCACGAGGTAATATTTGCCTGCGCTAGTTTAGTTTATATGCCGTGGATAAATGCATCCTAATGAGAATAAATTGTGGTTTGTTACTGAACAGTGAACAGTTCCTTTATTTGCTTCGAAATCAAGAATCTTTTTTTTTTCCTCATTATATTTCCGGTTTGTTCATATATAATATTGTTCAAGTAGTTACTGAGTACCGAGTACTCAAATAACATTTGTCACTTAAAATAGGGGTAAAGTGGTCCATCTTCAAGGTTTCTTAATTTGAAAGGGAAGTTTGTAAGATGATGGGGAATATGTGTATGAATATATATAATAAGAAAAGTAAGACATGGAAAGAAAGGGAAGTCGCAACCTTGGGGAACTTGAGGGAAGTTCTGATCTGGATCGCTTAGAACTGCTCTTAACACGCGTGAATCCGAAGCCGAGCCTTCCCACCCAGGATAGACAAATATGAACTGGAGATCAAAAGTGCAAGCTGCCAACACATTTTGCGATAAAACCCCTTTCCTGTTGCGAAATCTAGCTTGATCTTTTGCGGGAACGTAGGCCGGGATATGCATGCCATCTATTGCTCCAATACAGTCCTGGAAAACAGAAACAGAAGAATGTATATACATTGCATGAGCAGATATAGGGGGGCTGGGGATGCCCACAAGCTGGGTTTTATTTAGAGGGAAAAGAAAAAAAGAAGATGAAAATCGATGACCGTAGTCTAACTTCCGAAAAACACCAAACTTCACCCTTTTCTCCCACTTTTAATCAGATACCAGATCGATCCAATCTCCTTCCAAAGTCTAGCACCTTTTGTTTATTTTCTTCTAACCCAAAGACCATCCCCATGAATACGATGAATCAATATGCATTCACAGGCCCATGATGGCACATCTTACAAACTAAATTAAAGAATATTTTTCATATAAATAAACCAAATATTTACTTTAGGATCAAGTTCATCCCTCCCAAGTCCCACCGCACAATCTCGGGTTTCAGGCTCCTCCACTGTATAAATAAAGGAAGGAGAAGGAAAGTGCACTGATACCAAGATTACTAATACCTCGAACACTCACCTCAAAATACGGGTGGAACCTGTTGCTCCTTAGGATCTCCGGCGGGGTCTCAAGGGATGGCGGGCGGAGGAACTCTCGTGACAGGGACTTGACTGCCTTCAAAACATTGTTAAAATGCCGGCTTATTGTCTCCCCCGAGTGCTGGAAGCGTTCCTGAATCACCCGGGTACGCTCGTTTCGGCCAATAACATTCAAGAATATGGCGAGCTGCTCCTCTATCATGACGCCAGCTGTGTCACGCAGCATGCCCCTATGCCTGAGGGTGTTACTAAGCTTTAGGAACACGTGGCAGTCCATCCGGAACATCCCACGGCACAAATCGTCATTACCATGGAGGACCTCGTTCATGAAGCCCGACCCTTTTGGGGACAGGCCACGGGCGGGCTGCCTCGTGATGCTCGTGTAGTAATGGTAGCCCGCAGCAGCTGCCACTAGCTCCAATTCGTCGAGTTCAAGGTCAAAGTCGTCCATGGTGATTCACGTATCTGTTCAAAAGAAATATAGCATTTGGAACTTGCACGGACATTGGTGTAAAGCAGCAAACTCCCGTGTTATGAACTTTTTCTCTTGCTGAGGAAATTCTAGTAAAAAACACAAAAGCAGGGAGTTCCCTTACTATTATGTATTAAGGAGTATTTAGATGCATTAAGCCAGTTTCTTGGAATAAAATTTCGGTCAAAATACAACAGAAGTAGAATATCCATACTAAGAATGAAGCAGAAGGATAAAGCATGTATGTTGGAGAAAGAGTTACGTTATGCCATAAAATGATTATCTAATTAGCCGTGGATGGAGACTGCCCAAAAAAACTGAACTACCATAATTTAAGAAGTAGATTTGTACTTGGCCTACCTATTCCCAGGCAATTATCGTGAGGATATGATAACTTTCCTTTAGTTGATAATAACACTTCTCACGCAAGATTAACCTCATCGCATAAGTCAACTGCAAGTCTATTAATTAGATCTAATGAAGTTCACTTAATCGATTATCAGACCAAAGAGAAACAGGCAAATTCAGATGCCACAGCAATACTACAAAACTACTTTAGTAAACGTATCTTAAAAAAAAATGGAGTGAAAAAGGCAGGGCCAAAAGCATTTAAGGGTAACTTCTGAATAGAGATCAATAATAAAAGAGTCAAAGAACACAGATAATGCTATGTAAGTATCTAAAGCAGAAAAAAACTCATGGCCACCTAAAAAGGCTATTGTTTTGAATAACAAACGCATTTCTTATCTTCTAGAAGAAGGTCCTATAACACTACGTGTATAATAAAAAAGGAGGGATCAACGAATTATACAATCCCTAATCTCTATGCTACAGAAACTGTTCTTGACTTGTATGCAAATATTGAATAAATATATTTAATGTCTGATCACTTTGCTTATTTGCAGGATTACTTGCTTACTTGTGTGATTACCTTTCTTATTTCTGGAGTAAATTATCCAGCGATTTGGGTTCGTGTCGTGTCAGATGCAAATCTTCAAAAACAGAAGAAATGAACTCATCCTGCATTGCTCCACCAGAACCATTCTTCTGGAGCACGAACACAAACTCCATTAATTAGAATAAACATATAATTGAAAACTACATTGAGTAAGCAAACAATTGCTCGACCATTCAAATCCGAAACATGAACTTCTAGAACCAACGAGATCTTACTGCTCCACATAGCCTGAAAATGACGACAGAGGCACGGATAATCCACTCGAATCGATAAAACAAACGCATCATTCTTCGAGTACCCATTCAGAAATGAACCCAACCAAATATCCCCATGATAAATTAGAGCATCAGTTATTGCATTCATATTTAACTGCATCTATGGTGTCTCAGTTCAAACTTGTAAGATTCTTAAGACCACCCAACAAAAAATTTATGAAAATAAATAATAAAAATCTATATAAGTTAAAACACTATGAAATTCAATAATCTATCATGGACCACATGAACCCTTGAAACTCTGCTATGATCATCACCCAACAAAGAAAGCAAAAAATAATGGTCTATTGACTTAGGAAAAAATGGATCAAATAAAAGGCTGCGCCGTGATATAACAAATACTCGCCGGTAATTCACTAAATTGCGGCCGGCTGTCGGAGCGGAAACATAAAAAACAAAAAATAAACAAGAAATACCTTGAAGTTTATGGTCATATTTCTACCATCAGATATTCGACGGCCATTGCTGCAGGGCGGAGCTTCGTTTCAAGGGTTTGACGAGTGATGACAGAGGAGCTCTTCAGTTCTATATCGGCTCTACTCGGCCCCACTACTAATTTTCCGGTGTCGTGTATATAATAAGTAGGAAAAAAGAAAATTACTTTGTTATTTTGTAATAGGGTTAACAATTAAAATAAAATAATATTTTTATTTTTTCTTGAGTTCATATCAATTTTCTAGAAAATAAACAGTTGCATAAATCTTAATATTCTACTTTTTTATTATAATGAATTTCAATTCAATTTATCAGGTAAAAAAGTCGGTGCATTATTACGAAAAGTTTATTGCATTTTTAGAAAAAAAAAAAATTGATGATTCTTTTCACTTTGTTTTAACCAAATATTCAGATCAATTTTTCTTTTTTTTTTTGGTTAAGATAATCAGTGTATTGGTAGGAAAAAATTCGTTTTTATTTTTAAAAAAAATTAATTATTCTTTTAAATTTTTTTAATCAAAATTTTGAATTAATTTTTTTTCACAAAGCGTGAAAAACTCTAAAAATATCTACTTTTTCTCTACAATTTTTTTAATAAATAAGATCCCTTACTTTAAAAAAAAACGTAATTTGTTAACTAATAACTAATAACTAATAATACGCAATTTTAGATAAAATGCAAATACACGTGTAGTATTTTACGTGTTAAAGAATCAAACAATGAATGTTGTAAATAAGGAAGTGTTCAATACTATATAAATTTTAATTTTCATGATATTTTTAATGTCATAAGACAATTTAAATACAAAAAAACATTTTGCCAAGCAAGTAGATAATAAATGTTCCCGTGCATCGCACGGGTACTATACTAGTGCAAAGAAAAAGTAAGTAGCTAATGTATATTATACAGTTTACGGTTTTGCTATGGAGCCAACAGTTGGCCCTATAGTGGAGCCAACATTTTATATACAACAAGTAAACCTATCATATTCTCTGATTACTTAAATAACATTAATATAATTTTATAAATATGGTAGGTTTATTTGTTGTATATATAAAGTTGGCTCCACTATAGAGCCAACTGTTGGCTTCGTAGCAAAACCACATAAGCTTATATATATTTTATTGTTTCCGAAAAAAAAATATTGTAAATGTTTCAGTTTTCCTCTCTCTATCTCTCTCTCTCTTTTTTTTTTTTTTTTTTGTTGATGAGTAGCGATGTGTTCTCTTTCACTTTGTTTTCGTTTTTATACTCGCACATTTTTTTAAAGCCACCGATTATCTCGTGACATTCAATTTCGATCACTACTATTTTCATCTTTTTTATGTATTTATTTTTCTTTTAGAACAATAGAATTCATAGAAAAAAAACACATATGTACATATTAGAAAACAACAAATCAGCCAGCCAACTGAATCTAGTCGGGAGAACCACACGACGTGTAGCCTAGAACCAACCAAACAAAAAAACTACAAACGCTCCCATGGGTGGAGAATGAATGGGGAGAAAAAAAGCTCACAAATGGGAGAAAGAAAATAACCAACAAAATAAAACACAAATCTAAAAAACAGACAGACAAAACATCAACAACCTAATACTAAATGTAAACTAACGTCCTCCCCACCAGACACAAACTCTCAGCGCCAACACAACTCAAGCAAAACATCCAAACACGAAAACCTAGAGAAGGCCACGAGGATTACAACCCAACCCGAACAAGACTCAGATTGCAAAATCGAAAACCACCCCCAAATTTTTTTTATCTTGTTGAATGATCATTTTTATTATATTTTTGTGTCTCATCTTTATCTGATTGTAAGTCAATTTGGGTGGGGGTGAAGAATTTGATGTGTTTTCTTTCATTACCTTATCATGTGTAGCTTGTAACCTAACAGGACTGACTTAATAATCATTCTTGAGCTCATTTAGGGACATCATCAACCCGGCAAACCGAGTCACGGTGAGCGTAAACGACTTCTACGGCACATCATATATTCATAATTATTTACCAGAAACGAGTCTATTGACTTATGAATAAATCTCGCACTTGATAAATCAAATAAATAATAACCGAATGCATATGCTCGTTTATTGTCTTATGTGGGGACAAATGACCACATCATGGGGCCAATTTTTTTTTTGTATTAACATAGCAAGATAAAAATAGAATAAGATGCATATCGTAATTGGGACATTCTTTTCACGGTGGAACATACTACTCCACATTTTGTCCGCAACTTTCAAATCATGACCGACTATAGCGCATAAAGCTTCGAAAGAGAAGAATCTTTGCCTCCTAAATCTTATTCAAATGAAAATTGATGAGAAATATAGTGAAAAGGTGGACAACATTTGGGCATGAAAATAACAAATTAAGGTTAAAAAATAATTTTAATGTTGATTTAATCAAATTTTGCGTTTTATATTCAAACAGGACATGAAAGCAGAAATTTACCCTTATAAAGTTTGAAATGTGCAGCATACATCTAGTGCAAAAATTGATCAAAACCGTGTAGTAAGAGATAACTCCAGTTCCGATTACTATGACAAAGTGTTAAACAAGAAATTTGCAAGCAAGCTCTAAAATCACTCATAATCATAGTTTTTAAACCCGAAAATCGACTCGGGCAGGTACTGGTCATCCAGGTCACCGGTTCAATCGCCGAGTCACTGTATCAATTGCTGAACCGGCTAATTAATCTTAAAATTTTGTAAATTATTATATAATATTTTTGACATATAAATATACATAAAAGCAACAAAAATAAATATTTTGCATATAAAATTTGTACATCAAAATGTCAAAAGAATTATATCTCACAATAAATACATACTATAACAATATATTTACATAGTTTTATTTTTTATATAAAATAATATATAAAAAAAAATATAAGGACCGGGTCAACCGGGTTGACTCGGCCGATTCAGTGGCACGGGTCGACCGGATCAATGCCGGGTTGACCGTTTTTTTACTGGATTTGACCGGGTTCATTGTTAGCCAGTTAAAATGGCCTACTTGAATCGGTTCCGGATCTAGATCGACCGAGTTCATAGTCGACCCGTCGGATTGGTCCGGTTGAAAAACAATGGTCATAATGTGAGGTAATTGAAAAATTCCCCCATTTTTAATGTTGTCATATTTGGTAAGCGGCTCAGATAAGCTAACGCCAAGCTATTGCTATTTTTGCCGCTATTCGCGCTTTTCACGCTATAGCGCCAAATAGCGCGAATAGCACGAATAGCGCGAATAGCGATAAAAACAGCCTGACGCTACTATGCCATAACGGCGCTATAGCGCGGCCATAGCGGCGCTATAGCTGCGCTATAGCATCGAATAGCGGTCAGAAATGCCCGACTCTATTTTTTATAGCCGGCAATCAAAAACCATGGTAATTAAACAAAAATAAAATAAATGGTTTCACTTTTCAACACTGAACAATAGTTGATCGCCCATTTATCTCGCAGTTCGCACACGCAAAATCAGTGTCTAGGTAAACGCGGACGCTCCCAGCCGGCGCCGGACGTTCATTTTCCGTTGAATAATCACATTCGTCGTTACTAGCTTTTGCATCTCAGTAGCTGTGTTCGCGCTCGCACGATCGGCGCAGTCAATCTTGATCGGAAATTCGAATTTCGGGTTCTGGCGAGGGCAATGGCGGCTCTGGTTTACCAGATTTTCTCTTCGTCGGCGCTGATGTCACAGGGTCTGTACCACCTCATCTGCACCACCAGGAACCACCTCAAATCCCCCCGCGACTACGCCGCAAAACCCTACCACCCCCTCCCCTCAGCCGGCGGCCACCACCACCAACACGGCAGATTCCTCCGCCACCTCCAGCTCTACCTCATCATCCTCTGCCTGCTCGTCGCCCTCATTCACCAGCTCCTCGTATCTTCCTACGCCGATCCCCTCCTCAAGGGCCGCACCCCCGTCCACCTCTTCACTTCACTCCAGTCCGCCGCCGTTATCTTCTGCTTCATAGTCCTCTCCTCCGCCCTCCTAGTCTCCGACGCCACCTCCCTCCTTCCCCTACCCTCCGATCTCTTCTTTGCGGTCGCCTCCGCCCTCTTCTTCCTCCAATACTCCATCTCCACCTCGTCCTCCGCCGTCCAGACATCCGATCTCCAGGCCAGATGTACCTCCACATCCGCTCGCATCTCCGCTCTGTCGTCTGCCCTGTGCCTGGTTCTCGCCTGCCGCTCCAGATTGTTTGTGGCCGATGCTGCCCTTGGAGCCTCCTTCTGCCTGCAGGGGCTGTGGGCCCTGCAGACGGGTCTATCCCTCTATGTCGACGCCTTCATCCCTGAGGGCTGCCACAAGCTCCTGGATGTGACCAGTGGGATCGAGGGCTCCACTAAGTGCGACTTGGAGGATTCCAAGCTCAGGGCCGTGGCCATCCTGGATTTGCTTTTCGTGATTCATGTCCTATTCGTGCTCCTTATCTTCTTGGTGGTATACGGTGCTCTTGCCAAGTATTTGGGTGTCCGCAGCAGATTTGGGACCTACGAAGCCCTGCCCAATGCAGTCGTTGATTCTAATCACATTCAGTTGAAGGCTATAACCGGTACACAGGCCTGACAGCCTCCTTCACAATTCACCATTCCGGCTTGCTTGTTGCTGATGGAATTAGGTACTGCTCTTTCCTCCTTGCTGTCTTCACTCGCGTGCTCACCAGAGTTTTATCTGATTAGGGGGCTTTTGTATGTGGTGGGATAATGTAACTTCGTTTTTTATGTGAAATCAGATTTGTCTTTTCCATGGAGAACTTCACTACTTAAACTTTGCGGTAATGAGCAAACACCATGGGTTTTTGTTATCTAGTGTTTGGCAGCTGTATTTATTCTGCTACAAGTTGGGATGCACAGCTCGCATCTTTCTCTTAATGTGTAATGTGGTCTCGTCATGATGATGTGATAAGTGACCAACATTTTTAGTTTACGAATTCGTTGATTCTGCGTAGTGAGGTTTTACTTAATGGCGTATATATTACTATCTGTATATCTCACTTTCATTAGTTGTGACCTGGACTGGTTTTGCTAGAATGGCATTACACAATACATAATTGCATATACCATATCCTGTGAGATACTTCTGTGTTATTTCTTCTGATTTTTCCCTTACTTTTGCTTCCTCCTTTGCTTGGTTGAACTGGTGAAACATGTACTCAGAATGAAATGTGCCTTTAAGTTGTTTTCTCTCTTGTCTTGACTCTTGCCAAAGGAAAGGTGGGATTACCGTGTGATCGAATTTCAGGGAGAACACGGAAAAAACCTTGAGTGCGTAATACGTATCTACCTTGAGAAACAACTACTTGAAAATCCAAACATCTCTAAATGAAAGGAAAGTCGTTTAAAGTTCACTAGTAATAAAAATTGTTTCCTTAGGTTTTCCTCTATTAAATAAATCACATAGACACTATATTTTCCTTGGGTCTCTCTAAATTGTAGAAGAATGAAGTCTACTTTAATGAGAAGAAATATATTTGAATATTGTATATATTTGCCTAGAGGAGCAATTGTGTTCGTGTTCTAGGCAATGCTTCGGATGATATTTACTAAACTGTAGTCTCTTTCCATATGCATGTGTGTGTTCACAGTTAGAGGCGAATGATGTAGTGTGTTTTCTGTTTGAAGGGCACACCTTATTCTTATTACATTGTGCATGTCACAAGGCAGTGGCTTTGTTAGGTTGCCAAGGATACAAGGGAGTCCAACATAAATAGCCATCTTCTCCAATGGACCAAATTAATCGCAATAGAGTAAAAACCTGTTGAATCTGTCAAGTACAGAAACATATTGAGCTCCATTTAGTTATACTTAATTTTTTGGCATCGTGTGACCTCAACTTGTCATATGCATGTTAAGTTGGCCCTTTTTTTTTTTTTTTTTTTTTTTTTTTTTTTTTTTTTTTTTTCTCAACTTCTCTCCTTTTCTTTCATCATCTTTTTTTCCCTTGGACAGGTCGGGTAGGGAAAGATATTGAGGTCATTTTTCTTTATAACTTGTCACTTTTCTCGTAGGATCCATAAAATTATAGCATTACTTAGCATATTATGATTTCAAATTTGTGTAGCTTAGCCCATTACCTGAGTTCTGCACGTGTTGATCAATGCAGCAATGGATCTTATGTGTTGATCAAGCCTAGAAAAATTTAGATATAAAAAAATCAAGGATCTTACGCACTGCAGCAATGGGTCTTAGAGAAGTTTGAGAAATAATTCCCAAGTCCAAGTAAAATTAATCTCAACATTGAGTTCTAGTTGTAAGAAAAATTGGTTTTATAAAAATAGCTCTACGTTCCGTAAGTGAAAAGCTTAGAATAAAATCTCAAAACAGTTTAGGTTGAATGGGAAATTAAATTTGTAGTTGAAATGTGGCGGAGTTTTGAGTTTATGTAATTGTTTAAGTAACTCAAAGATTATTGTATTCGCAAATGTTATGTATTTGACGAATGTTTGGACAAGCCAAACCAGCAATAACCATGCACTATCGAAAAAATAGAACACCGTTATGAGTCCAAACGAGCACGCATGAGCTCCCGGTGCGCAAGCGTGCACCAAGCCCCGCGACTACGCCTCTACTCCCCTAGCGGTTGGGCGTGACGAGAACATGACCCAAATACATTTGTTTGTGCCGAGAAGGTTTCAACTCAGTTTTGGACAACCAGGCAGAATGCGTCTTTTGATGCCATGACTACACCCCCCCCCCCCCC